TCCACCTTTCACCCAACTGTCACTTGTGGTTCCAAAAAGCTGTAGCTTGAACAGTGGTTATACCCTGGTAAAACAATCTCTCCAAAGATGGATTAAACTGGGTTGAGGATATCCAAACCCATCAGTGAGTTAGAGAGATGTCTACCCCAAGCACTTGAAGACTTTCCTCAGCAGAACAGGCAATTTGAGAAGAATTTGTTCCAAAGGCCATGAAGGCAGCTGAATGCAAAGTCAGACATCAAAGATGCCAAGGTCATCCACTGTACCCTGGGCCATTGCCAGTTGTTCTGACTTTTGTCCTGCCACTGGACTTGGATGACTGTGGAAGAGAGTGAGGCTGACGACTTTGTGCATCTCTGCCTCACGTAAGTACAATTCACCCGGAACATCACTCTGTGAAGTCATGAACAACAATAAAACAAACTCCTGTTGCAGCACTGAAATTGGAGCTGTAAATTCTCAACTGTATCATCCTAATCTGACTGCTTGCATCAAATCAATCTGAGCAAACTTTAGTATCTGTAAACTAGTGGACTAAAACTCATAATGGGAAACAAGCATGCTATGGCCCTGAGTTCTTAAAAAATTATAATCCCATGTTTCCTTCAATGTCACAAAAATTAAACAAATTTAGTTAAGAAGGCTCATAATCACATATGTCCTTTAAAGAAAAAACCTTATTAAATAGGCTTTATAGGTAAACTAAGTCAGGTTACAGATTAAACCACTTAGAGGACTCACCATGCACTAGATAAATCATCAGCGGGTATGATGAAGGGAGAGGCTAGTACACTGAGGTGCTCACATTAGAAATATGAGTGATTAAGGAGACTAGGGGAACTGAGATTAGGTGAAGGAATTAGGTGAATGGAGGACTCTTTGTGACTCCATTTGGGGCTTGGCAAAGATACTAGAGTGGTTTGCCATTTTCTTTTCCAGCGCAGGGCTAAATGACTTGCTCAATGTCACACAGCCAGAAGTGTCTGAGGCCAGATTTGAACTCAGGAAGAGGAGTCTTCCTGACTCCAGGCCTGGCACTATCCACTGTGCCGCCTAACTGCCTCTTGTTATGTGCTTGTGTACATAAGACAACTCATAAAATGAAGTTGGAAAATGGGGAAGGGAGGTGAAGGTACACAGAGCAGGTGAATGGTAGAGAACATCTGGAGTGCTGCCTAGAGAGGAGTGAGACGTGGGTATCCTCCTTAAATAGAGGTTCTGGTAGGGAGCCATCCAATCACAGGGAGAGGCCCCAGAAGCAGAAGGTACTTCTAATGTGTGAATCCCGGGCCTGGAGTGAACTTGCAGGATCAAGCTATTTCTGGGGCACAGAGGAGAAAGTCTAGAGGGCAGCCTGGAGAGAGGAATGAGATCTGGAGAGGAACAGCAGACTCAGTTTGCCATCTCATCCTAACTATGGGTGTACCTTTTTGAATGGAATGTGAGAATCATTACAATTATTTTAAGTTGTTATTTTCCTCTCTTCTCTGCTGCCAGAGATCCTTGGAGCCATCATTTGGCTCAACTTACTCCTTAGAGAAAGTTTTGATTTTTAAAATATCACCAGGAGGCTGACTGTTTTCCAATTTTATCAGTTTTGATGGGGGAACTTCATCATACCTCCTACAAGGGCAACAGAATTTGAGACACTATACACTTAGTTTGAAATCTTAACACATCTTCTTTCAGTGTTCTCTCCTTTTCTGAAAATCTTCTGATTGTTTCTGAAATCTTTTGTGATTTCCTCAAGTGGACAGAGGGCAAATCAATTGAATAGTATTCTCTTCCCTTCCCTTCCCCCACTCCCAGAAGCAGTCCTGTAATGGCAAAAGTTTTAAATTTTTTGTCCTCAGACTCTGCTTCAATTTAAATGCTGGAAGGGAAAATGGAAACTCGGAAAAACCCCAATAACTAAGTATCTGCTTTGAAGGTTTTTTTTAAATATTAACACTTGAATACTTTACAACTATTTTTGTAATATTTAGCTGATGCTCCTGCAATTCTTACTCAAAATATGACTCTATATATGTGTCTGCACCACATGCTATAAAGCCTATAATTTAATACTACATTCTTAATGACACGTAATCCTTGATACTGTAGGCAATGACATTTCTTCATCCTGCCATTTCTTTGTTACGTAATGTAATAAAAAGCAGTGGTATCCGCTATAACATGCAAATATTTTCCGTACTCTACACTTAGTCAGGTGTGCATATGAGTAATATACTTAGTTGGCAAACCTAACTGTCACTGTTCCTCTAGGTACTGAAAAACCTGATGTAGCTACACAGGATATAAATCCTTTACTCCAACCTGTTTTCAAAAGGGATCTCTTTAAATCATACCTTTCCTTTTGCTTTCTTACCTTTGCCAAAAGTACTATTCTGTTCATTTGAGTAAGGGAGATATGGATCATAGAAGAGTTATAGAATTAATAAATCAGATGCACAGCTAAATCCATTCTAATAGCAAAGTCACCAGTAACTTTTAAGCTCTCTTGTGTTATCTTGATGGGAAATCCAATTTTACTTAGGTGTGATATTAAAACCTGCATGTGGAGCATATCCTGAAACGCATGCAAATTACTTAAGAGTTACCTTCAAGATATCCTCATTGGTTAAAGGGCTTCTAAGACCAGTAGTCTATGTTACATCTATTCCATTTAAACATGGTTACATAGTTTACTATAGACAACTTATTTTATATAAACTGTTCTCAAATTCATTTGTGTAACTATGGAACCTAGAATTGATTAGAATGCATCTAATTACAAGTGCTGGTAGCTATGTATTCATATATAGGATTAGATCCTTAAAGTATCTCTACTCTTCCTAAGCGGGGAATTAGCAGGAGTAGAAAATTTTGAAAAAGCAACAAGAACAGATGATTATATATGTCAAATGTAAATGATTCATGGGCAGCTAGGTGGAGCAGTGGAGAGTGCTCAGTCTGAAGTCAAGAAGACTCATCTTCCTGAGTTCAAATCCAGCCTCAGACAATTTACTAGCTGTGTGATCCTGAGCAAGTCACTTAACCTCATTTGCTTCAGTTTCCTTATCTGTAAAATGAGCTGGAGAAGGAAATGACACACCACTCCATTATCTTTGCCCCCCCAAAAAAAATCCCAAATAAACAAACAAAAAACACCATAAAAACCCAAATGGGGTTGAAGAGTTGGACCCAACTGTGATAAAGTGCAAAAATAAAGGTAGTTCTTTTGCTTAATGGCTTTGAAGGTATACTTTCCCTGTTTTCTATTTGGTTGACCAAAACAAAACAATTCTAATTTGAAAATTACTAATCACCTAAAGTTCAAGGCTGTAAATTGTAACAAATAAGAATATCTATTTTTGTCTAAGTGAATCTTGACTTCAGCACACATTCAATATTAAGCTTGAGAAGGATTGACTTATTAGAGAACACCAGTGGTTAATGAAAAAAAGATCAAAAAGATTCAGTAAAAAGGATAAAGAACAGAGAAATGAGAGAACAGAGAGCCAAGAATCATTGTATTTAATAATGCAAAATAAAATAAAAGAGGTTCATGAAAATGACAATCAAGAAGTTGAAAACCAAGAGCACCTTGGTAGAGATGAAAGCTAGAATGCAAGAGATGAAGAATTAAAGAATATGGAAAATACAGAGAATATAAGTATTAATTAGAGGATAAGTAAAATGAAAAAAAAAGTCAAGGAAGATATGTGTCACCCCCCCCCCATTAGAATATGAGCTCCTTGAAAGGCAGGACTGTTTAACATTTATTTCTATTTGTACCTCCAGTGCCCAGTACAGTGCTCGGTATATGGGAGGCACTTAATAAATCGGTCATATATTTCTACCACTCGTTCCCCATGTCCAATTTAAGCAATTCTATGAAGAAAGGAGAGGGAGAGATTAAAAATGCTATTCTAGGTAGGGAAGAACAAGAATAAGGAATGAAGGGGAAGATATAGTTCAGATAAGCCTAGAAATATATTTTTTAAAATGTTATGTACTAGCAGAAAGTCTTCTTTCCTTTGAATGGTCAATGTAAAGCTGACCATTTCCCTTCAGTACAATGAAATACAATTCCTTCCAGGAACTAGCAGCTGGAAGAGGACACTGGTTTGCCAAAGTCGGTGCTATTACGATTATCCCAGCAGCCTCCCACTCCAGCTCAATCTCTTCCTCACAGTGGATACTAAAAACTAACTCCTCAAAGACCAGGGTCCTAGGCAAGACGTGTCCTTTCTGGCAACCTCAGCAAGCAGAACGTCTGGGGCTTTTTCCACTCTAACCCAGGCTCAAGTGCCACTCATTGCCTCCCATCCACTGTTGCTACGAAACAAAAGACTAGGAAAGTGGACAAAGCAGGAAGTCCCGCCTCTTATCCCCTAGTTGGCTTTTACTCTCCCTCCAGATGGTCACGCCCATCTCTCCTCCTAACCACCATTGACCAACTCCCTGGGGGTTTGAATCCTTTTTCCCCTTCCTTGTCCCACTCCCTTAATGGGCCAAATATTTATATTCCTTCTTCTGTGTCTGGGACGTGGGTGTGTTTATACCTGTAGGTATATGTGTGTGAACGTGTAAGTGTGAATGTGGGGGGTGGTTCTTTCGCAGCCCTGGGGACCCTAGAAGACGTGGAGGGAGGGGCGGGGCGAAAAAAGGGGTCTATCTCCCATTGGTCAAGATCCCTGTCCTGTAATGCTGAGATTTAGGAGGATTGGCTAAATCCTTCCTCCTGCCTCCTCTCTCCTCCCCCTCCCTGGTCCCGTGGCCCCTCCTCCTCCCCACGTCTCTGTGTTTGAGTGTAAGTTACCAGGGGGAGGTGGGAGGGAGCGACAGGGAGGGGAGGGGAAGAGGGGTGGGGTATGCTGTGAGTTGTCTCCTCCTCCTCCTCCTCCTCCTCCTCTCCTCCTCCTCCTCCTCCTCCTCCTCCTCCTCCTCCTCCTCCTCCTCCTCCTCCTCCTCCTCCTCCTCCTCCTCCTCCTCCTCCTCCTCCTCCTCCTCCTCCTCCTCCTCCTTCTCCCGCCTGGGCTGCTGCTGGTGCGTCCCCAAGCCCAGCAGAGGAGGGGGGAGGAGTGGGGAGAAACAGGAGGCGGGTGTGGATTTATTTCAACCTTAAATTGTTGTCTTTTTTTTTTTCCACGTCTTGCTAGAAGCTGGTTGGAAGGAGCTCTCCGCCTTTGGAATTGCTGTCTTATCTCACTCTCTGTGCTGCCTTCCCTCCTACGGCCCCCGCCCCGACGTGCGCGTATAGTGTAGCCTAACGCACACGCGTGTGCCTTCCTTCCCCCCCCCCCCCCCCCCGGAGTCCTCTATAGCCGGGAGAGAGGGCGAGGAGGAGCTCCGTCTGGGAGACTCAATGTTTCTCCCGGGCCAAGTGCTCCTTGTGCAGCTAGACACGAGCTACGGACGAGGACGGGAGGAGAGCCCCCAGCTTGCTGTTGCTGGCGTTGTTGCTGCTGCCGCTGCTGTTTGAAGAGGGGTATTTAATAACCCGAACCCCAGAGTGGGGCGGGGGGTGTGGGGGGGACAAGGGCAGAAAGAGAGGGATAGAAGCTGCGGAGATTGGAAGAGACTTGAGCATGGGCTGTATAAAGGCGGCAGGAGAGGGCAAAGACGAGAGAACTGCTGCTTCTGTTGCTTGGAGGAGAAAGGATACTTTGTCCTTCCTTCTTTCTACCTTTCTCCTCCCTAACTGTGGATGAAAAGCAGTGGGGGCAGCTGGGTAGTGGTGTTTTTTTTTTAAAATCCAGAAACAAAGCTGTGTGTGTGTGTGTGTGTGTGTTTTGTTTTGTTTTGTTTTGTTTTTCCTGATGGGGGGAGGAGGAGGGCTGAATCAGAAGAAGTGATCTTCCCTCCTCTTCCTTTTTCCCTCCTTCAGTTCTTTCCCTCTTTAAAAAAAGAAAGGAAGGAAAGGACTCCCTCTAGCCCCCTCCAGTTTGGTTATTAACTAACCTATAGGTAACTATTGACATTACATTTTTTAAAAAGATAACTTCGGATTTGGGGTCGTGTTATCTCCGGGTTTGAGATTTTTTAAAGCTGGGGAATAAAATACAAGTCGTACAGCCTTTGTTGAGCACAGACGTGCCCCCCATATGAAGTGTATAATAATTTTTTGGTTTGCCTAACTTGGAATCTAGTACAGGATGAAAATGAGTTTCCCCAAGTGAAGCCCCCAAGATGTTTCCTCAGTGGCTTCGTTTTTGTGTGTATGGAGAGGGGGTTAAGGGAAAAGAGATGGGGAGAATATTGTGTTCTTATCTGTTTGGAGTGATTGTATTTATGTTGCCTTTTTGTTCTGAGCTATGTAATGTAATCCAGCCTGTGCTTCTTCAAATGTGAATAATATTTGTCCACAACTGTTAGTTTTATAAAAGCAAAGTCAGGGTCACTTCCCTGACACCCACTCTGTAGATTGCCAGTGTGAATCCATACTCTCCTTGTCTAAAAGTTGAACCCTGGGCTGATTTTACTCTATCCACTGCATTCCTTGCTGAAGGAGGTGGGTGGGATGAGTTAGCACATTCAGTTTTCTGTTGGGGAAAAATATTTAAAGGACCATGGGAGTCTCTTTTGGTAATTTTTTAAAAAATTGTTTTCAGTATTCTTGTAAGAGCTGAAGAGCTGAGATCCCAGATGGCTAATGCTATGAATGGCCGGAACCCTGGTGGCCGAGGAGGAAACCCCCGAAAAGGACGGATATTGGGCATTATTGATGCTATTCAGGATGCAGTTGGACCACCTAAACAGGCTGCAGCTGATCGAAGAACTGTTGAAAAGACTTGGAAACTCATGGACAAAGTGGTGAGTATTTACTCTTTTCTGGGTATGTTATCTTTGGTATCCCTTACAACTTTAGCATTTGATGACACTTGGCAATGATAAGCTTTTGATGAACCCTAAGCCATGTGATGAAAGCAAGATCTATTTGCCCATCATTTTTCTGTGAATTGTTGGTATATTTATTAAATACCATTTGACTAGAAGTCAGGGGAACATAACAAATGGTTAATAAATGCTTGACTAGACCTGGGTTCTAGCCATAGTTTTGCTACTTCCTGACTGGGCAAATCACTAAACTTCTGTAGCTGATATTTCAGAACTTAAGTATGTCAGTTTCATCATCCTTTCCTACAAATGAGGGGTTGGAATAGATCATCTCCAAGGTTCTTTCTAGGTCTGAACTGCTGAGTTCTCTGATGGAAGACAAAGGCATTATGATTTGAATTGGACATTTTGCTCACTTCTTGGCTTTGTATTTGTTGTGAAAGCTTGATGTCTTGATATGAAATGATGTTGCTTTTACCTTCTGTCCTACTCTTTAAGGTTCAGAGTTCTTCCAGAGAACTCAGATATGCAAAGCTCATGCAGTAAGCTGCTTAATGTTAGTATACTGTGTCAGAATAGTTTGGAAATGTTTGTTCTGACTTATATGAGATTGCCTTGCCCTTAGACCAGAAGAGGAGCTCTTAAACAGGTAATTTATGCAAAGCATTTTATAAAGCCCTCTTATGACAGTCCACTGCATGAAGTGGAGAGCATTTATCTGGGAAACAATTACACAGATTAGCTCTCAAGTGAGTAAGCAAAATTTGAAATAGTTTCCATTTCATCTTTGGAAAACATCTTCATTTTAAAAGTTCTGTGCTCTTGTTAATGGCTAAATTACAGTTTCTTTCATCTACTATTCCATTTTGAAACAGGAAATCTATTCGACTGCACATTATTTGTTGTGAAGGGAAAATTTATGTTGGGGGTGGTGGTGGTTTTGAGAGTTTCAAATATTTCTGTGGTTTCTACAAGTTGCTTTCAGATGAACTGAAAGATCACACAGAAATTTAGCCATATATCAGCACATGCAGAGCAAACCAAATTAAAGGATGTTTCGTAACTTACGAACACAGGCTCAAGGAATTTTAGATGCCAGTGTCCTAAATATGACAGATAGGATTTTGTAATAAATATGATGATGCTCTAGCTTGCTTCTTTTCAAAATGAAAAGCTCTTAATTTTACATCAGTGATGTCTCCCCAGGTTGTATTTGTGATAGTTACAAGACCTCATAGGTTTTCTTATAAGGGATCTTCAAGCCAGTCAGAACATTTAGTTGGGAAAGAGGCCTAGGTATTTGTTAACTTGTAATGAGGGGAATATACTGTTGACTCAAGTAACAGTAAGGTACACATAGTTTTAATGTTAGGACTTAGATTCCTTAATATGATACTCTTTTTTTGGTAGAAATGTGCCAGAGCCTCCCAGACAGAAACCCTGGAACTTTCCCCTTTGCTTTTGGCTTGTCACTGGGTGCAAGTATAGTATAGAAAAAAAATGTAGTCTCTTGGTTTAAAGGTCCAAGTAGTTGTCAATCCTTATACAAATCAGCTTTATTTCATTTTCCTATAGATTGTAATGTAGGTAGATGGAGTGGCTTTCTGTTTTTTCTGGATACACATATTCACTTTGGGTTTTTAGGATGGGCCTATTCAAACTTTTGTCAGTTAGTTAAATTTTTTGATCACAGATTTTATCATGAAAGCGCGTCAGACAAGTCTTTGTAACCTGTTGCTTGAACTCAGCTTTTGATTTGAACGTTTGATACTTATTATTGAAGAGTATGTGCTTCAAGAAATTGAAAACATTTGGAAGACAAAACATCTTTCCACTTAAGGTAGCTGAAGATCAGTTTCACTTCTTAAATCAGAAATGGGGAGTAATAGCCAAAATTCAGGGTTTCGAGTTGGAATCATCCTTTATGAAAACTTAGATGTCCAGATTATTAAGTGACTCCTGGTGAATGTGTCAGACTTATACAGTTATTGGTTGTTCTCTTTCCTTTGTTCTTGGAATGGTCTGAGATGACATATTTAGAAATCAGTCAAGGTGAACTGAAACTTGGTCAGCATTACGTAGATTTCTTATAGGAAGTAGTGCAGTCATAGTTACTATAAAGACCCTGCTTTTGAAACATTAAAAACTAGCCATTATGCTGATATAGCGGCAGCTAGGTAGCACAGTGGATGGAGCGCCAGGCATGGAGTCAGGAAGACTTGTATTCCGAGTTCAAATGTGGCGTCAGACACTTAGTAGCTGTGTGACCCTAGGCAAGTCACTTAACCCTGTTTGTCTCAGTTTCCTAATCTGTAAAATGAACTGGAGAAGGAAATGGCAAACTACTCTTAAGTATCTTTGCCAAGAAGACCTCAAATGGGGTCATGAAGAGTTGGATATGACTGAAAAAAATGACTGAACAAAAACAATAACAATGCTGACACGGTTTTATTTACTTTTACAGTACTGGTTAGTGACTATGGCACTTTCCCTAAGATAAGGCTAGCACCTGTCATTGTTTGCTTTATCTTTAGGCTTTTTTTAGAGTTAGCTTCACTTTAGTAACTTGATGAGTTCTGTTGCCTAAGTTCTCCACTGGTGCTTTCTCTATAGGTTTTCAATTATGTTCAAAAGTTATTCCTGAAATTGTGCCTGTGGGCTTTCTTGAGAATTTGTATAAATTGTTAGATGAAAGGCTCTTGTGTGCCTTAGGAAGAAGACAACACAGCACTACCAACACATTTATACATACTAATTGTTGGTGTTATTTCATTTTATGTAGAACTGAAGAGTTATACACATGTGTTTATTTTTTCTTATTTGTCAGCGGTAAAGGAAGTGGTTCATAATATCAACATTGTCTTGATGATTACATCAGAGCATTGACTGTTAGTCCAAAAGTTAATCCCTTGATACATTACCTAACTGTTTGGTAAAATAGCAGCAAGACTGTGTAGTTAGCATCAGAATTACAGGGAAGAATTACTTTTCAGTCCTCTGGATAGTGATTTGAAAATAAACTTTAGCTGTACAGTCAATCCCCCCCCCCAAGCAAAAGCCTAAATTTAATTAGCTTTAGATAATTGATTACTCTTAAGGTCTGGGGAGTGTACTGAGGTAGGTAGTGTGTGTGAGCTTTATAGAGTGAATAAATGTAAGTTTACTGTTCTACTGACTCAGTAATTCAGAATACCTTCAAGTACATGAGACTTATTTCAGCTAAGTCATTTTAATACCTTTTTTGAGATAACTTTTTGGAAGATATTCGAGTAGTAGAGAGGAGAGCAACTGCCTTCATTTGTCATTGTAAGATGTGAATTGTTAGGAATTCTCATAGAGCGTATAATGGAAAAAAAGATTGTTGGGAAGAGCCAGATAACTTCCCATTTTAGCAGATAACAGAGGTCTTGGGGACAGAGTAAGTAGAGAGATGTGAAGCCAAGGTCACGTTAGTTAGGAAAGTTTTGGGTGAAACCAAAGCATGCTGCCCATCTAGAGTCAGTATTATTTGAACTGATCCCCAAAGTCGCAGTGTTGAATCTTGCTGGGTTAGAGGACTGCTGGAAAGCTGAGTCTGTTTCAAGACTACCCCCTGGGGATTTGGGGCCACAGCTGGCTTAATCAGTTAAACAGTACCCAGTGCTTCATATCATGGCCATCATTTAGGCACTTGTATGAATAGATTTTGGCTGGCTGTTGTCTGCTTTTCAGAAGAGGCATTATCATCTTTCTGTTTGAAAAACTGAGGTTAGGGTAAGGAAATGATTGCCAATCAGGATGGTAGGAAAGATAATTTATTGATAGCTGTTCCTGTATCATGGTTCTCACAAGAGCCTTACCCAGGTGATGGAAAGTAGGAGACGCAGTTTTCCAGCTGATAGATGCTAAATGCACTGTATATACATGGATGGATGCTCAATAAATCCTAAACTGTTAATTGATACTGAGAAGCAGAATGTAATGTGAACCTACATTTTCTACTGCTATCTTTGTCATTTTTGTGAAGTCACATTATTTTGAGAATACAAAAGCACTTAATATGAAAATGACAGAGGACTGCTTTCCACATTTTTATGTTTACTACATTTAGCCAGCTTGTTTTTCATGCTTCACAACTTTAACGTGATAGAAGTGAAGCCAAAATCAAACTTTCAGAGCTGTTTGGTTATGGTTTCCTACCCTGTGTCCTTCAGTAGAATGGTATGTTTTTCTCCCTAGGACAAGATCCTTCTTCATCTCTTAAATGAATATCATTTTGGGGACTTAAGACTTGGCTTTAAGAGTTAATCTTTTTAAACTTCTAAGGCCTAGTTCAATAACATCAGTACCCTTGGTACAAGGTAAAGCAGTAAGTCTTTTCCTCCAACCCATTTTTGCCTTCTGGAAGTTGACTATCATAAATAGAATCATAAGACCTTATTGAATTAAGGGTGTTTTTGGTCTGTGTGGGTGGGGGTGAGAGTAGGGTTGGGAGGTAGCTTAATAAAAACAAGGCTGTTTTGTAATTCTGGGAGAAGTAAACTGATTCAAATTTTGGTGACCTTAATGTTGTAGTGGATCTCATTCAGATTTTAATCAAGGAGCTGCCTTAAATCTTATTCTGTTTTTATAGTTACAGTTCTGATTATATAAATGACACAGGTAATGAAAGCCATAGCATAACCAACAGATAGCTTCTCAACTCTCAACTCTTGTCATTGTTTTGCTCTGTAGAAGAAAGATCCCCTTACTTCCTTTTTACAGTGTTATTTCACATGTTATAAATTTAGACATGGTTATTAAGCTTTTAAGTTAGTGACCTTTTTTTAAAGTTTTGAGTGCAAGCAGTTTGCAGAAAGAAAGAAAAAACCAATGAACATTAACCTCTAAACTATCTTCAATAAAAATATACTTAAACATATAGGTATTACTCATTAATAATATCCTTATTCATTTGTCATTATTGTTTAGTTGTTTCTGTTGTATCTGACTCTTTG